GAAGTTGAAGATGACAGCTGATGACGTTCTGTTACTTTCTTTTTTGGGCTTGTCCTTTAGTAGGTGACTTCTGGGTACCCTTCTGGTACCAGAATTCAATACTAGAATAAAATACCCACCTGCTGAAGAAACAGATTGACAGAATCAGAAGGGTACCCAGAAGTCTGAATAAAGACAGGGGATGGGTCAAGAACTAAAAACTAATTTCCCCATGCTAATTTTCCCCCTACTGTTACTCACACTGTCTTGTCAACTGTTTGAAATGGGCCACCCTGATTACCACTACAAAAGTAATTTTTCCTCCTGCTGATAATAGCCCACTTTAATTGAATTGTCTTGTTAGACAACATAAGGCAACTCCCATCTTTTCATGTACTATGTATATATATCTTCCTACTGTATTTTCCACTCCATGCATCTGATAGAATGGGTCTTAGCCCACAAAAGCTTATGCCCAAATAAATTTGTTAGTCTCTAAGGTGCCACAAGTACTCCTCCTTGTTTTTGCTGATACAGACTAACACGGCTACAACTCTGAAACTCTTAAAAAAGGCATTTCTCTTCAGCAATAGCAACAAAATATGAAGTTTCTAGGCCAATACATTTTAGACATATCAGGAGCTAAAAAACTGTTGGAAAACTTTTCAAAAAGAAATCTACAGCTGCATTTCCAAAACTCCACACCATGGGCCAGATCCTTTCCTGTGACCGAGCTCAGATTAGTGCTAGAGTAATGGGGAGGAATTAGGGAGCTGATTATGACTTCCTGGTTCTGAAGACTGGTCTGCACCAATTCTGACCTGAATTAGATCTTCTCTAACTTATGCCACTTGTGTAGCATTTTAAATGGACACTACACCACTGGATGATAGGCATTGCAAACCTCTGTTACTCCATGTGTGATATGACTAATACATCCAGGTTGTGAAGGGAGGTAATGCCGCTGGTGCAGGAACAGCCCCTGTCAGTTTTGTGGGAGCACAGAGTTCTACACCAGGGAAATTCCCTGCTGACCACTTACAGCTCAAATCTAGATCCATAATTAAAAAACCCTTTAGGTGCAATTCTCCACTGCTTTGAACCTTGTGTAGTCTTATTTCTGGGCAGCAAGTATAAAATGCTACCAAATCAGAATAGTAGCCTCTTAGACCCACCTGGCACATGGGTAAATAATTAGTGAAGGATTGCAACCAAAGGATTGTTATAAATTATGGGCTTGGCCAGCATGGAATTGCCTTGGTGTAGGAGAACACCATAGGGTCTGATTTATTTATTTATTTAACCAAACTTTCCAGAAAAAAATTTCACCCTGAGATGAGATGCATCATGTAAAATTTCAGGAAGAAGAGTTTTGTTTTGAGGAAAGGAAGGGCAGGACTGAAAATAATACAGCTCGGTGTAAATTTAACATTAGTAAGTAGATTTCAATAAGGTAAAAACTTTGTACCTATCCTATTTTTATTCTACATCCTGATTAACTTCCTTTTCACACAGTTAAAACAGACCTATTTAGGTGGATATCTTTATATTACAGGCAAATGAGAAGAAAAGCGCCTTTGTTCTGCAATCTTTAGGAGTAGCCTCCCTCTTCCTGTTTATTTTTTAACACATTAATTACAACTCTAACTATTATTTTAAAGTACTGCATTGGTTTTTATTTCTTTAATTCAAATATATTCACATCATGCTCTTCAGAGGGGTATTTCTGTTGTTTTGTGGAGGGGTTTTTAATCTCTTCTGCCGAACACTTTCCATTCTGCTGGTTTATTTCGATTTATTTGTTTGAATCTCTAATAGTGCCTTCCAGTTAATGTATTATAATTACACACTGCGAGAAAAGCCAGCTAACTATCTGTGCCTCATTTCTATCACACAACACAGTCAATACCTCAAGGGTGTGTAAATAAGAAATGCACAAAACATAAATACAATAATGAACCTCCAACTCTAGAATTGCTGCGCCAAGTCTCACTCATTCGGGGAAAGAGAGGAGACTTAGTTGGGGGTAGATTTTAGGGGGTTTTGTTTACAATATCTCTGGAAATGAGACGGAATTTGCTGTGCATAATTAAATGAGACATGTAGCATTCCGCTCTAGTCCATCCCTGGCTGGATCTGTTTATGGAATAACTCAATACTCCCTGGTTGGCAAATTCAAATCATATCCTCATATTCAGTATTAAAAAAAACCCTCACTGGGCCACTCAAAGTAAGCAATAGTGGTATAAATGAATTTAAACAAGTGTACAAGACCTAGAACGCAATGAACTAATAAAATTCCACTGTCTGGCAACGACAGAGCAAGCACTTCTCTAAGAACACTTTAGGTCCTGAATCTAATTTTAAATATCCCAACTCTGGGGCTTGCAACAAGTGAGAAGACTATGCCACAATGTAATAGATTTCACTACAAAGTTCTTTTGGCATTATCTCAATTGTTCCCTTTCTCAGTTTCATCCCATGAGCCTGAGTTCTTATACCTTTGTGTACCTCAGTAAATTAATTTCTCCTTGGTGTTTACATTTTTGTCATCTATTATCATGTCCCTCTGTTCAGTCACTGCTTAGCCAATTTGCACATATTTAACTCTTTTAATCTTTCCTCATACATCTCAGTCGTGGTTAACCACCTGTCAAACAATTCATCCCAGTTTGTGCTACAGCTCCTGAAATAACCTTTCTCCACAGTGGGATACATTGTGAAAACCATCTAACTTAAAACTGTGTATTAGTGCCTATGACCATACCCAGTTGCCTTCTGAGCAAAATATATTGGCAATAGCAGAGTTCATGGAATCTCTGGTTCTAAATTTCCAGATTATAGAAACTCTACTTGAGACAGGGATTTTGTTTTGTTTTGTTGATGCAGAGGGTGCAGAAAGGGAACACTTGATGCTATGAATGGTCTGGTTATGGTAGAAAAGATTTATAAACGAGAAAGTTTGCACAGTGTTTCCTAAAGGTGGTCAGATTCTAGAACAGGGATGGGCAAACTTTTTGGCCCGAGGGCCACATCTGGGTATGGAAATTGTATGCCGGGCCATGAATGTTCATAAAATTGGGGTTGGGGTGCAGGAGGGGGTGAGAGCTCTGGCTGTGGGTGCAGGCTCTGGGGTGGGGCCAGAAATTAGTTCAGGGTGTAGGAGGGGACTCCGGGCTGGGGCAAGAATTGGGGTGTGTGTGGGGGGGTGAGGGCTCCAGCTGGAGGTGCAGGATCTGGGGTAGGGCTGAGGATGAGAGGTTTAGGGGGTGCTCCAGGCTGGGACCAAGGGGTTCGGAGTGTGGGAGGGGGCTCCAGGCTGGGACAGGGGATTGGGGCACAGAGAGGTGCAAGCTCTGAGGCTGGGGGTGCAAGCTCTGGGGCGGGACTGGGGATGAGGAGTTTGGGGGTGCAGGAGGGTGCTCCAGGCTGGGATCAAGGGGTTCAGAGGGTGGGAGGAGGCTTCAGGCTGGGGATTGGGGAGCAGGAGGGGCTCAGGCTCCAGGCAGTGCTTACCTCAAGCAGCTCCTGGAAGCTGCGGCATGTTCCCCGTCTGGCTCCTATGCATAGGCAAGGCCAGGCAGCTCTGCGCGCCACCCCGTACACAGCCGCCACTCCTGCAGCTCCCATTGGCAGCAATTCCTGCCCAATGGGAGCTGCGGGGGCAGCACGTGGGGCAGGGGCAGCTTGCGGAGCCCCCTGGCTGCTCCTACCAGTAGGAGCCGGAGCAGGGAGATACCGCTGCTTCCAGGAGCTGCGCAGAGCTGCAGCACATGCATGCAGAGCGCCCCCAACCCTGCTCCCCAGCAGGAGCTCGAGGGCCAGATTAAATCAGCTGGTGGGCTGGATGTGGTCCACGGGCCATAGTTTGCCCACCCCTGTTCTAGCATCATCTAAATTCCTCCTCTGGAAGTTCATTCTCCATCCACAGTCTCTCAACTCTCTCTTATCTTGCTGAACCCTACTCTTGGCTGAAAACTTGAAATGACCACGGTGAATGAAAAGTGGCAGAAAAGATCATTTTAATCTATAAACAGGCATGTAAAATTACTGTTGAAAAAACCCCCCACAGAATGTAGTCACCACATATCTAAACAGTTTGTCTCAACTAAAAACTGATGTTTAAGGGTTTTCTAGGCTTCTGGTGATGCTACAAAATGGTTTTACTAAAAGAAAGTGTATATATAGATATGAACCACAAACTATTCTTTGGATGGGTTCGCTTTGACAGGATAAAATTGCCAATGCTTTTGGACAGGCTTTCCTGGAGAGCACCTAGTAACTTGCTTACACCTGGCAGGGGGCATAATCCATCATCACATTTCTGATCCTGAAAGATTTTTTCTTACCATCCAGACAAAGAGAAGGAATCAGAAGCCATTTCATGGCTGTATCCTGAGCCACTCCTGAGATGTGAATCTAGGGTCCATTTTTTTCCCCCTCCTCAACATGTCAGTTTCCTCTTTCACCTTATTTCTTCTACATCTCTTCTTTCTTTTTGCCTTCTATCTAATAAGACTCCAATTCACAAAGCTATGACAGATTTAATTTTGCAACAATTTTGCTGTGACCAGTTTGGAAAGCAATAAACGATAACAAGCAGCCTAATCTGCAATGAAAAATTTACCTCCCACAAACCAGTGAGAGGAAAATAAAAGCAATTTAGCCAAACATTTGCCAGAGGAGAAAAAGCCAAAATTCAGAAATGGCCAATTGGGTCACACGCTGTAGCCTCTGATCTTCTAACAACTGAACAACAAGCACTAGAGACAAAAAGCTGCATTTTCTTATGTTTTCCTATTCTTTCACAATTATTGATTTAGTCTGTTTTGTCCCGAGAAGAAAACTGATTAAAATTTTACAAACAAAAAAACCTGAGAGCTAGTACCTAAAACTTATTCTCGTCTTCTAAGCAAGAGTATTTGATACCATCCAAGAATGTCAGGCAAGGAGTTCACATTTAAAACATGCTATAGAGAGAACACAGGAATTGTTAAAATGAAGACAATTTTGAATTGTACCTGTTTTTAGTAGGTTTTGTTTCTTTTCTTCTGTCTTTTTTTGGGTTCATTTAATGAATGTTGAAAAATTATCATTTTTTGTTTGTTGAACAATCAAAACCAAGACCAAAGCAACCAAACCTAAATTACTGATAGTTTGCAAATGGCACAAAAATTGGGGTAGTAGTGAAGAGGAAAGGTCACTGATTCAGAGCAATCTAGATCGCCTGGTAAACTGAGCACAAGCATGTGTTTTAATACAACTAAATGTAAATATATATATCTAGGAACAAAAAATGGTGGCTATACTTACAGGATGGGGAACCTCTATGCTGAAAAGCATAAGAACAAAAGAGCAGACCAAAGGTCCATTAAGCCCAGTATCCTGTTTTCCGACAGTGCCAATGCCAGGTGCCACAGAGGTAATGAACAGAACAGGGAATCATCAAGAGATCCATCCCCTGTTGCCCATTCTCAGCTTCTGGCAAACAGAGGCTTGGGAGCAAGTATCAGGGGGTAGCCGTGTTAGTCTGTATCCACAAAAACAACAAGGAGTCCGGTGGCACTTTAAAACCTAACAGATTTATTTGAAAAGGAGGACTTGTGGCACCTTGGAGACTAACAAATTTATGTGAGCATAAGCTTTCGTGAGCTACGGCATCCGATGAAGTGAGCTGTAGCTGACGAAAGCTTATGCTCAAATAAATTTGTTAGTCTCCAAGGTGCCACAAGTCCTCCTTTTCTTTTTGTGATACAGACTAACACGGCTGCTACCCTGAAACCTGAGATTTATTTGAGCATAAGCTTTCGTAGGTAAAACCCCCATTTCTTCGGATGCATGGAGTGAAAGCTAGAGGCATCATCCCTGCCCATCCTGGCTAATAGCCACTGATGGCCCCACCCTCCAGGAGCAGTGACTCTGAAAAAGATTTGGGGGTCATGGTGGATAATCAGCTGAACATCAGCTCGGCGCCTGACGCTGTGGCCAAGCGCTAATGGGATGCTCGGCTGCAGAAACCAGGGACTCTCAGGCAGAGGCTCTAGTGGGTCCCGGGGCCAGTGCTGCTCGAATACTGCGCCCGGGCCTGAGGGCCACAATGCCAGGCGGCTGCTGGCGGACTAGTCCTGCCAGCTGCCCCGGGCAAGTCACCCACCGGCCGCCCAGGGAGGCGAACCCCGCCCCTCCCCGCGAGGTCCCTGCCAGCCTGGGAAAGTCCTTCCCGACCCCGCCGGGCTGCTCCTCGCACCCCGCCCCGCCGCCCCCGGTCTCTGTGCACCAGGCGCCCGGGCCACCGCGGGAGTCGGGGAGCGGGTGGGCTCAGGGGGCGGAGCCAGGCCCCGGGCCTCGCCGCGCCCCACAGCGGCAGGACCCAGAGTGGCTGCCCCCGCCGCTGCCTGACGAGGACCCGCTCCCTGGCCCCGCCCCCGCCGGCTCAGGGTCCCGCTTGCTCCGTGGCGGTTTTGTTCAGGCGGCGGCCGGGCAGCTCGGGCGGGGCGGAAGCGGAGGCGAAGGACCCCCCCCCGGCCGGTCGGCCGGCGCAGCGGCGGCTGACGTGTGCCTGGGGGCGGTGGCGGCGGTTCCTGGGCCCGGACCGGATCATGTGAGTGACACGGACACCCCCCCCCCCGGTTCCCCCATCCGCCGCGGCCTCCCCCTGCCCCGCCGCCTCTAACGCTCTGTCCTCTGCCTCCCCAGGTCGAAAGTCACCTTCAAAATCACGCTGACCTCGGACCCGCGGCTGCCCTACAAAGTGTGAGTAACCCCCCCCCCCCCCGCCGCCTCATGCCTTGTGCGCATGCGCTGCCACATCTACTTCCCCCGCACCTACTGCCCGTCCTCCCATGGGCACCACTGCACGGGCACTGTCCCCCCTCCCTGGCCCATGGGCACCCCCCACACCCTATGCCCCCAGCCACCCCGCCCCTGGGCACTGTCCTCTACACCAGCCCCCTTCCCCCCCCCACCCCCCTGCCGTCAAACGCTGGCAACATCCCCCAGCTGCCTCACCCCCAGGCACTGCCCCTGTATGCCAGCCCCCACCCTGCCCCGTGGCACTGCCCCCCATGCCAGCCTCTTGCCACTGACCTCCCTGCTGCCACCTCCTGTGTCTTGTCCACGGGCACCGCCTCCCTCCACACTCCAGCCCCACAATCACCCTGACCACAGGTACTGCCTCCCCACACCAGCTCCTCCCACGCCAGTGGGCACGGCCCCCTCACACCAACCCCCTTGCCATCGACCCTCCCCAGTCATGGGTATTGCCCCTCCAACTCTCTCTCCCTGCCCATGGACACTATGCTCCTGGTCACCGCCGTGACCACAGACACTACCTTTAGATAAGCTATTACCAGCAGGACAGTGGGGTGGGAGGAGGTATTGTTTCATATTCTCTGTGTGTATATAAAGTCTGCTGCAGTTTCCACGGTACACATCTGATGAAGTGAGCTGTGGCTCACGAAAGCTCATGCTCAAATAAATTGGTTAGTCTCTAAGGTGCCACAAGTACTCCTTTTCTTTTTGCGAATACAGACTAACACGGCTGTTCCTCTGAAACCTACCTCCAGACACTGATCCACCCCCGCCCACTGATACTGTCTGCAAGCCTCCCTCAGCTGTGCCCCCAACCCACCCGTCTTGCCTACAGGCACTGCCCCTAGACCCATGAGCACTGCTCCCTCCCACATACTTCTTTGTCCACATAGACGCTGCCTCATGCCTATAGTCACAGAGTTTAAGGATAAACGAGACCACCAGATCATGTAGTCTGATTTCCTGTAGAGCATAGTTCACCAGCACCACACACTAAACCCAACAATTGAAATTAGATCAAAGTATCGCAGCCCACAGGAGACTAGATTGTTCTATGCCACAGGCAGAGAACAGGAGGGACTGAAGTGCACTGATGCCAGAGGGCCCTGCAATGGCAGAAAATTGATTGAGGTATACGCAGGTAATCTCGGGAAGTGACCCATACCCCATGCTGCCCAGGAATGTGAAAACTCCCTAGGTTCACTGATCTGGGGGGTTTCAGAGTAGCATTCTTTCCCAACCCCATATATGGCAGTCAGTTCGACCCTAAGCATGTGAACAAGAACAAGCCAGCAAAGCACATGAGAGTGAGTGCTTGTGCCACTTCAGCCTCCTTCTCTTTCCATGTGGGTATTGCCCCGTGCCTATAGCTTCAGTTTCATTCCATGTGGGCACTGCTCCACATCTGCTGCTTTGTCTGTGCTTTCAAGAACGTTAGTTTCAAGTGTAGTACGGATGGAAATGGTATTCTTATGGGACTGATTTGTTGCACAGTTATTTGTAATTGATGTTTTTGTGTAGTTTACTAAGGCCATGTTTACACTACACAGTTTTGTCGACATAAGGCAGCTTATGTCAAACTAACTATGGAGGTCAGTGAAACCTGCATCATGTGATGCTGAACTTGCCACCATGAGGCATTGCAAAGTCTTTCCAAAACACCCTGTGGTCAATTACTCAGTGAGATAGCCACCCTCAGTGTACTGCTTTCTGCATCGATGTAAGAGCTGCTACTTTGGATGCATTCCGCTGATACAAGGAGCATAGTGTGGACATGCAACAGCGGTTTAATTTCAATAGTGGCTATACATTGACTTAACCTTGTAGTGTAGATATAGCCTAAGTAATAATAATTAATATATGGTTTAAAATGAGTGGTATTCCTTATAACTAGATAAAGTTTAAAAATGTGCAGAATTAGGGTGTGGTTCAATGATACTTGGTTCTGATCTGGCTGAATTTAAATTGTTTTATTACTGTCACCTGGACAGTACTTTACAGATGCAGAAAAGGGTAGCGCTTATCTTCTTTCCCATCAAACAGATGTGTTCTTTATAGATGGTATATAGCTTTCTACTGCTCCTGGTCTATTTATCTAGGTATCATCACTGTGGGCTGGAATGACGCACAGGACTCCTCATTAATCTGTATGATGTAGCACTGAGGCCAGGTCTACACTACAAACTTACATCAGTATAACTACGTCATTCAGCGATGTAAAAAATGCATGCCTCTGAGCGATATAGTTATACCGACCTAAACCCCAGTGTAGACAGTGCCCTTCCATCGACGTAGCTATTGTCTCTTGCAGGGGTGGATTAACTATGCCAACAAGAGAAGCTCTTCCCTTGGTGTAGTAGCGTCTTCACTAAAGCCCTGAGTTCGTAACTGGCCATATTGCTCATCATGTTGGTACCACAATATGGTTTTGGAAGTCTTATCATTAAATCAGTGGTACTACTCATGGTATTAAACACCATGCCCCATAGTAAGTATTTGCAAGATCAGGCTGTTGGTAGGGGAAAGTTGAATATGTAATCTCACACACTCAAAAAGGTATGGAGAGTAGATACTGGGAAGACTGCCACAATTCTTATGTGGTAAACATGTTGACATCACTTCTTCTGGAATGCCTGTAATAATTTATTTAAAAATAAAAACTTCAGTTATTTTTTTGCAGTGTACTAGTCTTCTTTCTGTGTTTTAGGCCCTTATCATTGGGCACTCCCATTGATTTCAGTGAAATTATAATCAATAACTTTAGAACCATTGGAATTAGTCTCTAATTTGGTCTAGAAATCATATTTTCTATTAACTCTTCTTTGTTTCAGGTTAAGTGTGCCTGAAAATACACCTTTCACAGCTGTCTTGAAGTTTGCTGCAGAAGAAGTAAGTGTTGAATTGTGACAATGTTTACATCAATAACGAAAGAGTTAAATTACAAGACTCGTGTAAATTTTTGTGTGAAATTATAGATAGCTGGGTCTAGAATGATTCATGTTGGAAGTTTGCTTTTTTTGAAAAAGCTCATTGGAATTTCATCAAGGCAGTTACATAATTATTCTTTTTTAAAGTAATAAAAAGTGATATCTGATCCATAATGTATTACATGGGTGTAAAATGTGTATGTGTATGATTTAAAAATATGTAGAGATAGAAAATAGGAAGTAAACATTAAATTAATGAAAGAGAGAAACCTGGTAAGCAGTAATGACTGTGGACAACAAAATGTCGTTGGCTTTTTTGCTGTAACACATTAAAATTTGTTTTCGGCTGCGTATGAGGAAGTGCCACATCACAGTTCAGTGGGGAAATGGTGCGTCTCTACTTCGCGTTGGTGAATCTACACCTGGAATATTATGATATTTTGACCTTTTTCTTACTCAAGGGAAAGTGATAGTTTGGAGGGATTTCAGAGAAAGTAAAAATGATGAAGGGGCTGGAGGGATAAATGTGAAGAAAGAGCCGGAGAAATGTGTATAAATTGCCAAGTGATGACTAAGGTGGAGGCCTAGCTTATAAGTATTTGAAGGGTATAAACTCCAAGGAGGAGTAGAGAAGAAGGATGGTCCAGAGGTTAGGGTGCCAGGTTAGGATTTGGGAGCCCCAGGTTCAGTTCTTTGCTTTGTCACAAACTTCCTGTGTGATCTTGAGCGAGTTACTGTTGGCTTGCCATTGTAGGAAAGTTTATACAAGTATAAAGTAAGATGTGAATTTAGGCTGTGTCTACACTGTTACTTTCAGTGCTAAAACTTTAGTCGTTTGGGGTGTGAAAAAACACACCCCATGGCAACAAAAGTTGTAGGGCTGAAAAGCACCAGTATAGACAGCGCTTTATCACCAGGAGCTGTGGTCCCACCATTAAAGCTACCACCCCTCATTCGGGGTAGTTATTTTTTATCACCAGGAGAGCTCTTCCCTGGCAATAAAGCTTGACTACACTGCCCACGTCACTGTAACATGGGCAGTGTAGTCATACCCTTACACTAATATAGTTATACCAGTATAACTCCCTGTGTGGACACTCTTATTCCTGAATATTGTATTATTCCTGAGTTATTATACCAGTATAGTTAAACTGATACAATTACACCAATATAGCTTCTTCTGTGGACACTCTTATTCAGGAATAATTATTATTATTCTCTCTCTGTGCCTTGGTTAGATGGATAAAAATGGCTAAAAATAACAGTATGGCTGCAGTGGCTCAGACTAGCCACTCAAGTACAATCCCACTTTACTCCTTGGAACATGTACTAGAAGAAATAATAATGTATTGGCAGAGGGAATGGATTTGATGACATAGGCCATTCCATATTAGAAAGGGTTTGCCAGTATAGCTGTTCAGGAAGATCCTCTTACTGGAGATGCAGTTTGCATCACCAAAGAGTGCTTTTGCCAGTATAGCTTATACCAGAGGTCGGCAACCTTTGGCACCCGGCCCACCAGAGTAAAGCCAAAGGGATGAGCTAGCCACTGCTTCCCACAGCTCCCATTGACCGGGAATGGCGAACCCCGGTCGGTGGGAGCTGCGGGGCTGCGTACCTGCAGACGTGCCAGATAAACAAACTGGCCCGGCCCGCCAGTTGCTTTACCCTGGCAGGCCGGGTGCCAAAGATTACCAACCCCCGGCTTATACCAGTTCCCCAAACAAAATAAGTTATACTGGCAAAACAACTTTTTTGATGGTATAACTGCATCCAAAGTAGGGCTTTTGTCAGCTTAGCTATATTGGTGAGGGGTGTGATTTTTTTTTTTAAACACACACTCTTAACCAAAATGGCTATGCCAGTAAAACTTTTAAGTGTAGACCAGACTTTTATAGGTCTTTTCATATTTCAAAGGCTTTTGTGTACACTAGAAGCCCATGCTTTAAAAACAGCCATGTTAGGAAAGTATTAGTTATTAAAATGGTCCCATTAAACAACATACAGTTGCAACTAGTGTGTATTTATGTACTTTGGATCATGCCTTTTGAAATCAACGGGAGTCTTTCTGTTGACATCAGTGGGCTTTGAATCATCCCCTTTGTGTAGGTTTACAACCTAAAGGTATAATTACAGCTGTTTTCAGGAGGCTTAGAGGGAAAATGAAGAACAATTGTTGTAGTGGGCTCTTGTACCCCACATATCATTAGAGTTCAGTTATATAAATCTACTTAGCGCACACAGAAGAAAACATTTTATTTTTAAAAGATAAGTTTTGATATTTTTATAGGGTTTTTTTGGAAGCCACCTATAATACAATATGATGATATTTAGCTCTTTCACACACTGGTACAAGGATCTATTGAGGGGAGGAGGAAATAATGAAATGATCACTTTTAAAAATACTGCATTGTCTTTGGTTATTATTGTTATTTATAATATTTATTTGTACTACAATAGGATCAGCGAGCTCTAGTCATGAACCCAAGACCCCAGTGTGCTACGTGCTATACAAATATAGAATAAAAAGACTTTGCTTCCTTGCTTATTAGTTACATTCTTTGGGAAAGAGGAGAAGGGTAATTTAATTTTTAATTCAGACCACAGGTACTGCATGTATTTGGCACTGAAAAGAACAAGACCTGGTTTCTGGCTTTATAAATGGACTATACTCCTTGAACCACTTAGTTTAATGTTAACTCAGTCATTTGAATAGATGAATCATTCATTTACTGTGAAGGGAATTTTTTAAGATAACATACAGAATATCCGTAGCCCGTCAGAATAAACATGCAAGTGCTGGTTTAGAATTTTAAAAAAGCATAGTTTACAATGTGTTTCTAGAGGCAGAGAACTAAATGATTTCTAAATTATGTTTTTAGTAGGCATGCCATCTGAAATATGTAGATATTTTGTTCAGTTTATTAAGATGTTATCAATCCTTAAATACAGGTTTCATATAAGTTATGTTTTTAATACTATACCTTTTAATATTGTTACCCCTTTTGACTGAGCTGTTAGCTGAATTTGGGGTGTTGCAGGTAGGAGGAGAAATTGATGACAGAAACAGGTATTTTCTTTGATGCAATCTCGTTTGTTTACAAAATTATACATAAAGTCCTGTTTTCCTGAATACAGTAGGAATCAAACAGCAGGAGACAGTTTCGTTACTTGTACTTCCATACCTGCTTTGCCACCAGCACTCTGTGCCCACATAGTTTTCTTTCTTAGCTTTCCATCAGGGCCACATTACCAGCACTTCTGTTACTTTTGACTTTCTTGCTGCTTCGGTCTCTGTCTTGCTTCTCACCCTCGCATGTGCACATACACGCACACACATCCTTAAACTATGCCCAGCTGAGCCCCTGTCCACATAGTTCACGTTCCTGAGTGGCTTGGATGTGCCTTTGTTTTGGCTGGAGACATGGGCCTGTGTTTAGGGTGGAGTCAGCTTAATTGTTTCAGCCACCTGATTACAATGTCCTGTTCGTATTTATCCTGAATATACAGCAGATGGCTATGCCTGACCCATAACAACAACGTTTAACTCAGCCCATAGCAATATGATATTTTTTTTTGGTATGACTCTGTGAAGCAAGTATTTAAACCAAGACTTAACCATTCTTTTTATACCTAAGCATTATTTTGCCACAAATATTGCAAAGAATACAAATGTGGACGTTTCTAGAATAAACATGGTATTTGCTTTCAAAAAGCATAAGTCCAGCAAAATTGGATGGCTTTTTCTACAGTATCAGATATGATCTTCACATTATTTACCTACAACAGTTTGAAATATAGGCATTCCTGCAAAAAGGTCTTGATCTGGTTCCCGCTTCTTTTAACGGAGCAGGATCAATCCCCAAATCCATATTTCAGACACAAAAGCTCTGTTAAAAACAAGTTACAAAGTCAAGCACTCAAAAGTTAGAAAATGCTTGTGCAACCTTAATTTAGCCCCCCTGTTCATTATGATACAGATTTTCATTACATGATCACATACTATTTTTTCTACTGGACCCCTCCCTCATTCAATGCACATCTCCTGTTCTGGAGATGAATCAGGGCAGTGTAGTAAAGGAGGCTGATGTCTGTAGGATCCCTGCCTCAATTGTTGCAGGAATTGAAAAGAAATGAATAACACAGGGAACTGTAAGAAGAGAAAGGATGGTTTTCTGGTTAAGGCAGCTGGATTCTATCCCTGCTTCTGCCACAGAGTTCCTGTGTGATGCTACCATGCAAGTCATTGAAACCAAACCTTTCAGAGGTGGTCACTAATTATGTTTTCCTCATTTTCTGCATGCCCAACTTGATATCTTGGGCCTCTTTTACAAAAATGCTGATCGCTCACAACTGCAGTTGACGTCCAAGGGAGCTGTGCTTGAATATATAAAGTGGTATAAAAAGTTAAGTACGTTCAAAAATCAAGTCCTAGGCATCTCAGCTTGAGCACCCAAAATTAATGGGTACTTTTTACCTTACTGTCTCTGTGCCTCAGCTCTCATCTGTAAAATGGAGATAATTCCACTCCGTCACCTCACACGGGTGAAGATAAATTAATTTTATGAAGCACTCATATATGAGAGTGATGAGGGCCGTAGAAAAAATCATGCAGATATCTTCAGAGCAGGGTTTGAATATTGTGTGCTTAATGAGGTCTATGGCCACACCTTACATAAAAAAGATTAATGAACAGCTATACAATACTTTGTATTAATTTGAGCACTGTCCATCCAGTGCACTGAATGAGACAGGGATCCGATGGTAAAAAGAGTATGTGATCATGTAATTAAAGTCTGTATAGTAATGCACATGCGCAAGGGGGCTCAATTAAGGTTACACTGGAAACTTTAATTGAGGCATTTCCTAACTGTTAAGTGCTTGATTTAGCAATCTGAATAATGTTTTCTTAGTATAGTTTTTGCGGGTGTGTGTAATTTCATAGATTTCAGAGTAGCAGCCGTGTTAGTCTGTATTCGCAAAAAGAAAAGGAATACTTGTGGCATCTTAGAGACTAACAAATTTATTTGAGCATAAGCTTTCGTGAGCTACAGGAATGCATCCGATGAAGTGAGCTGTAGCTCACGAAAGCTTATGCTCAAATAAATTTGTTAGTCTCTAAGGTGCCACAAGTCCTCCTTTTCTTTTTTTGTAATTGCATAGCTTTTTAAATAAGCAAACTGAACAAACATAAATTCCATCATGTGGCGTCATATGGACACTCAATGATTCATCAACAGGATTGAACCTTATAGTTCAACCATGCAAATCTCTGCAATCTGAGCTTACAAAGTAACTGTTAGTAGTAGTAAGTTGTCATCCTCTGAGTGGGCCAGCAGTAAATGGGATGAGACACTTTGCCAGTAGGTTTCACACATACTTTCAGACAACAGAGGACTGTTGGGATAGGAACCTTGGGTTCCACTGCAAGCTCTGGAGGGGAGTGTGCTCTAGTAGGAGCAGACTCTTCTTGTTTCCCCAACGTGACCCCTTATGCCCCTGCCCCTCCCCCTCCAACATGTCACTGTCCTGTCTTTTCCCCATCTCTGGCTCATTGTCCCAGTCCTTCTTCTCTTGCTTGTCCAATCCATCTCTACTCCTCAGGCTTCTCATTCAAGTCCCAGTTTCCTTGTCCAGATGGTTCTAATCTACCTTATCCCACTTCCAAACTCCCTCTCCCAACATCCAGTCCCATTCTCCTTGCCCAGTCTCTCTCCTTCCACTGGCTCCCAGTTCTATTCTCCCTCCCTGCATTCTTCATCCAGTCCCAGTCTCCCACCTTCTCCCTGGTTCCTTGTCCCTGTATCCCCCACTGTCTTATCCCAGTCTCTTTGCCCAGCAAACCCAAGTTCTTTCCTCACAACCCATCTTGTCAGATCTGTCTCCCCTTCCCCCAACACACACACTCTGGTTCCTAGATGCAGCCTCCTTGTTCAGCCTCCCCCCACTTCTTCATGTTGTGTTATCTCAGTGTCTGCCTACCCCAGTTCCCAGTCCTAGTCTCTTTGTCCAACCAGTTCCAAACTGCCCTTCCTTCCTACACAACCAATTAAAGCCTTCCCTTTTCCCACCCCCCACAGCTTCCAGTTCAAGCTTCCTCTCCCTTTCATTCCCAGTCAACGCCCACCAACCCTATTCCCTTGCTCAGACGATTCTGGTTTTCTCTTCTCCTTCCAGCCACAGTCTTGTCAGACTAGTTGTCCAAATCTCCTCTTTTCTCTCCCCAAGTCCGCCTTGTGTCTACTCTGCTTTTGAATTTGGCAGTTTCCACCTTCTTACTGGCTGAGTGCCAACAGAGGTGTCGCTGAGAGCACAGGACAGACAGGTTTCTTGCTCTCAGTTCCAGTGCCAAGCCACACTGCAACCTCTAGCAGCCATTACAGGGAAAGTCCAGCTTCTCTGTAGCCTTGGGCTGGAAGGAAGCATGTTCAGTCATTCACTGGAGATGGTGCATATACAGACCAGTCATATAGGAGATGTAAGAGGATGGATGCTCAGTTGCTCTTTGGGGATAGCCAGCGGTATCCTTTCCGTTACATACAGTTGGTGCATGAATTCAGCGGTTCCTTGGAATATTAGCAAATAATGAGTAACATTGGGAGCCCTATAAGCACTGATTACTGCTGCTTTCCCCTTTCATCCCAGATGTCATAGACTTGGGCCATGTCTACGCTACCGCTTATGTCAGCAAAACTTATGTCGCTCAGGGGTGTGAAAATAACACTTCCCTGAGTGACATAAGTTTTGCCGGCATGAGTGGTAGTGTTCACAGCACTTTGTTGGTGGGAGAGCTTCTCCCGCCAACATAGCTTTCACTGCTCGTTGAGGTGGTTTTTTATGTCAACGGGAGAGCTAGAGGGTCATAGAGCCATAGGGTTAGAAGGGACCGCAAGGGTCATCTAGTCTAATCCCTTGCCAAGATGCAGGATTTGTTGTGTCTAAACCATCCGAGAATGATGGTTATCCAGCCTCCTTTTTGAAAACATCCAGTGAAGGAGCTTCCATGACCTCCCTAGGCAGTCTGTTCCATTGTCCTACTGTTCTTACAGTTTGGAAGTCTTTCCCTGAGATGTAATCTAAATCTGCTATAGCTTGAACCCATTGCCACTTGTCCTGCCCTCTGTGGCAAGAGAGAACAACTTTTTTTATGGCAGCCTTTCAACTATTTGAAGACCGCTGTCATGTCCCAGTCTTAATCTCCTCTTTTCCAAACTAAACATACCCAGTTCCTTCAGCCTTTGCTCATATGACTTGCATTCCATCCTTCTGATCATCTTTATCGCTTGCCTCTGGATCCTTTCCAGCTTCTCCATGTCCTTTCTATACATAGGTGGCCAAAATTGGACACAGTACTCCAGCTGAGGCCTAAGCAGCACCGAGTAGAGTGGTACTATCACTTCCCGTGACTTGCATGCAATGCCTCTGTATTTTGCAACTGCATCGCATTATTGGTTTATGTTGTGGTTGTGATCCACCACAACTTCCAGATCCTTTACAGCAGTGCTGCTGCCAAGTCGGTTATCCCCTATTCTGTATTTGTGCATTTGGTATTTCATCTCTAATTGTAGCACCGTACATTTGTCTTTGGTTGAATTTCATTTTGTTGTCTATAGCCCAGTTCTCCCATTTATCAAAATCTCTTTGAATTTTAGCTCTATCCCCAGCTTTGTGCCATCTGCCAGTTTGAACAGTACGCTCTCTAGTCCTACATCCAGGTCATTAATAAAGATGTTAAATAGCTCCAGACCCAGAACAGATCCCTGTTAATCCCTCTTGAGACCTCTTTCCAATCTGACATTATTCCATTCAGAATAACATTTGTTTGTGGTGTTTAACCAGTTATATATCCACTTAATGGCAGTTCCTCTGAGCCCACATTTCTCCAGCTTACTTATTAGACTGTCATGTGGGACTGTGTCAAAAGCCTTGCTAAAGTTTGGGTATATTAATCTTCACCACTTTCTATCCACCAAACCAGTTACCCTGTAAAAGAAGGAAATCAAGCTGGTTTGGCATGATTTGTTCTTAATATGTCCATGCTCCTGGTATTCACAAATTGAACATTTTATTCATTGCTCTATTAGCTTCCCAGGTATCAAGGTCAGGTTGACTGGTCTACAGATCCCTGGCTTCTCCTTTTCCCCTTTTTTAAAGATGGGCACTACATTAGCCCTTCTCCAGTCTTCTGGGACCGTTCCTGTCATTGATGCGTTTGCAAATATTATTGTCTATGTTTACCTACATTTTAAATGTATACCAGGACTCAGATTAAAAAAACGAAAAGGAGGCTTGAATCAATGTGACTTTCTCTGGTAACAGTAACCCTTTGTCCACACCTACTATTTTCTCCTGTACCCTGATGTTAAGCATAATATGTGGTAGACCATTTGAGTCCAGAAACAGAGCATACTGGGTCAGATCTTTCAAAGATTTAAGCTTGTGAGTCACTTTATGGACCTGTGTGTTTACAGGATGGGGATGTTCAATTGGAAGCTCTTTGAAGCAAGAACTGTATTTTACTATATCTTTGTACAGCACCTAGCACAATGGGGTCCAATTCTAGCTGGGACCTATGGACAGTACTGCCACATAATATCGTATAATCGTAAAATAATATCGTAGTCCATCAAAATTCCTAACTATTTTCAATGCATTACCTTAATATAGAAAAATCAAGTAGCCTGAAGTGAGTGTTTCAATCCAAGAGACTTTTGAAAGATTTACTGAAAATACGGTCAGAAGTGCAGAATAGAGTCTATTTTCTATCTGGCCAGCTGTGACAGGTGTTTTTTTGGTTTTTGGTTTTTTTAAAGGAGTTAGCAGTTTATGAAATGGTTGTAAATTCCCCCACATAAATTGTCTCAGTAGCAGACCATCCCTGCCCAGCCCCAAGTCAAGTCAAGCAGGAATTCTGCATTGTGATTCCGCTCATTGTGCTCTTAATAAATGTTACTAAATATGCACACAAATGATTTTACAGTTGCTCATGCACTGAAAAACACCATAGCTCTCAATACCGGGACACTGTACATTTCAGATTTCAGCCATTTTTGCTATAGCCATGTCTTTAAAAAAATAAAATCACGTTTACGCAAAGACCAAGGCTTCAGTTCTGCAAATTCTTATGCACACGCTTAACTTTGTGCCCATGAATTGATACTTGAGTAGATTCCGTGAAATTGTTTATGTACATAAGTGTTTGAAGGTTTTATTTGGCCATTTTTATTCCAGAAGGTTCTGGCATCTATATTTGGTCAATTTAAATTAAAGCAACTTATAAAACAAAATTGCATATTTGTTCCAGAAATGTATGCAATTTAGTAGTTACTCATTTTCATCAACATTTTTGGTGCTGCTCCTTACAGTATTATCAGAATTATTATTTTTTGAACTTTTCAATTAGCATAATTTTGACATTATTTCCAGATTTTTTTCAGATGATTAGATCTAATCAACTGTTTTAACACTGTGTACTTTATGTTCCATGTAACCTCTTAGTGCATAATAAGCTTTGATTGTAAACTATTATTTTGATAGTCCTATAAAATCTGAAGAAAATTTTTTCCCATAATTATTCTTTATACAGGCCTAAGCATCTAAAATTACAACAGAGTTTGAATGTTCACTGTAGTATTTTCCACTTTGTTGTCTGTCTTTAAAACTAATTTGTCATACTTTTGTTTCCTTTAGTTCAAAGTTCCTGCAGCAACAAGTGCTATTATAACAAATGGTAAGAATATGGTTTTTATATTGTTGATTCAGTTAAGCTGTATTCCAGAAAAGTATAAGCAGGTTTTCTCTATAACCTAACCAGCATACAAACTGATGAGCTTTAAAAGTAATACCTCACTGTTATACATAATGCTGGTGCATGGGATTTTGCCATTAATATTTTATTGCTATTTGAGAGGTTTTATTCTACAGCATATCTTGTGGTTCACTATGCTGAAATTTTTATCATCAACTGTAAATAATAAAGCTGACTAGCGATACTTTTTGGCAATAGGAAATTAATAAAGACTGATATTTAATAATTATTACAGTATATTGTTTAGAACCTTGTATATTTTGCATTCATTTTAATGTTGTAAGTTTACGCTGCGAGATACTTGGATCTTTTTTTGTTTTAGCCCCTAAATCAAACTGTTTTTGTTTGTTTGTTTTTAAAACTTAGATGGAATAGGAATAAACCCTGCACAGACAGCAGGTAAGTAGTTATTTGTGAAGTCCAATTAAAAAAAAAAAAATTATTTTTTATTCAGTTACGATGCACCACAGTGAATGACTTATGTTCTCATCTAGTTTATCCAAGTTTTAACAGCTTTTCAAATAGGGATCCAGAAGTACTAAACAGTGGCTGAAAACTGCATCCAAAGCCTCATGTCAAACATTAAGATCATATAATTATTGCTCAATATTTTGTTTATTTAGATCTGTGAAACAGTAGGTGCCTAGCTAATATTCACATAAATACTTAATATGATAATGAAAAAGAAATAGCAACCCCATAATATAATACTAAATAACCATGCAGGGAAAAAACAACAACCTTTAACTTACCCTGTACATCACACAGCAATATTTACTACTTCTGCAGCCTTTCTAAATAGATTTAGCAGTGTGCCCTGAAGATCAACTGGTTAAAGCTACTTTGGACTGGGTGAGAGAAACATTCCAAAGGAAAGGGAAACATTCCTGCCAGCAGTCTCCTCTCATTCATGTCGAGGGGGATCCAGTTAAAGGACCTCTTCTGATCTCAACTGCGGCAATGTGCCACAGAGAGAGAGGTGGTCTCTCAAATAGGAAGGTTTGAAGTCATTTTAAAATCATCATCTTAAACTGCACTCAGAAACACACAGGCAGCCAGTGCAGATTTTGGAGGCTTGATTGAGTATGTGCATGGAAAGACGCTCTGTTTACAAAGTAGGCTGCTGCATTCTGCCCTAGCTTACCTTACAAATAAATTTAAGGTTTAACCTTAAGAGAACATTGCAATAGTCTAGTCTCCAAGTGACAAAGGCACGATTTATGTTGGCAAGGTCCACTTTGGAAAGACTTTTGTGACTTTTGCCAAAATCTTCTGATTGCTTTACCGAGCCTACCAATATCATCTCCTTCTTATCTGGAATGAGCCTCAGCCAGATCTAACTCATCTGTGTCCTAGTCTCCACCAAACGTTGTGGTAGACACACAACCACTCGGGATCAAAAGAGAGAAAAATGAAGCTGGGTGTTTTCGGCACATTTGGAATACAACAACTCTTTATTTCCCACTAAAGCCCAGTCCCACAAAGGACTTAAGCACCTTGCTGAATCAGGGTATAATCCACTAACATCCTCATATGTACACTGAATGAGAAGGAGGAGAGATTAATAAGACTGGGACTTTTCAGCTTGGAAAAGAGACGACTAAGGCGGAATATGATAAAAGTCTATAAATTCAGGACTGGTGTGGAGAAAGTAAATAAGGAAATGTTATTTACTCCTTACTACACCAAATGAAATTAATATGCAGCAGGTTTAAAACAAAAGGAAGCATTTCTTCACAGAAAACACAGTCAGCTAGTGGAACTCTTTGCCAGAGGATGTTGTGAAGGCCCAGATTATAACAGAGTTAAAAAAACCCAAAAAACTAGATCAGTTCATGGAGGATAGGTCCATCAATGGCTATTAGCCAAGATGAGCTGGGATGCAATCCCATTCTTTGAGTGTCCCTAGCCTCTGTTTGCCAGAAGCTGAGAATGGGCGACGGGATGGATAACTTGATTACCTGTTCTGTTCATTCCCTCTGGGGCACCTGGCATTGGCCACTGGGCTAGATGGACAGGACACTGGGCTAGATGGACCTCTGATCTGACCCAGTATGGCTGTTCTTATGAGAACAAGATAGAATCTTAGAGAATCTAAGGCAGATGATAAATCTGATAATGCAGTATGGATACTTGAACTTCATCCATCACCACTAGAAAGTCATCTCGGAATGTTACAAGAGCAATATCGTAATTGACATGAGTCAAATAAATAAGAGGCATCTAGGTACCGAGAGTTCTCACCACAATCTTCTCATGATTCTTAGCTGCAAAAGGAAGATTAGACGCAGGGTGATCGGTAGCCAGATTGTCAGCGTCAGGTGACGGTTTCTTAAATATGTACCGATGCTGCTAAGCAATGCTGGCACGTTGCCCTTCTGAAAGTGTTGAAAGTCTTCACCAGCAGTAGGTTCTGCACATTCACTGGTATTTAGTGCCCCATGCTTCAGTTGTCATGGGTCATACGTAAACCTAGATGACTTATGACAAAGCTGGTTATCAATAGACATGGTATCATGTACTACTCCTGGGGGAATTCTATGCCACTGCGCATGCTCGAATTTATTTTCCACACAGATTTCTTTGCTTCCCCACAGAAAAATGACTTTCTGATGGGGAAACAAAGGGAAGCCACAAGCGCGGTATTGCGATCCTCCCCAGGAGTATGTTTCAGGTGTCCAGGGCAGCTGGCAGAGAGTTAAATCACTGTGGTGCAGGAGGCAGGGCTGGGGAAGACCCAGCTCCGTACCCTGTGCTGGGTTCAGCTGCTAGTCCTGGCTGGACTAGGGACAACGGGATTTCCTCTTGCCTTCCACAGCATCTGGGGCTGGGTCAGACCCCCACCCCCACCTCCAGATTTCTCCCCCAACTGCAGGAAGCTCTGCAAACTCCCCCATCCCACCGCTTCCTGCACCCATCACTCCTCAGCTGCAGAGGGAAGGATGCCTGTACAGGGAGTGGCTCCCCCATCCACGCAATCCCCATGCATTGAGACCCCCTCATACCCAGACCCTCCCGTCGATCCTCAATCCCCTGCACTCAGAACCTCCCGATGAGCCCCACTCCCCCCGCATCTGGACCACCCCAACAAAACACCCGGATCCCCACCCCACCAAGCCCCAATCAGCTGCACCTGGATCCCCACCACACTGAGCCACACTCCTCCAGCATCTGGATACCCCACTGATTCCCCCCTCCCACCAGACCCCCCCTACAGAGCTCTAGACCCCCACATCCAGACACCCCCCACCCCCGCTGAGCCCCAGTCATCTTCCCCCCCCTCCACAGAGTCCCGTTACCATTGCACCCAGAACCCCCCGCAACAAGCCCTGTACATCCAGATCCCTCCTTCACCCGGATCCCTTACTGAGCCGCCTGCACCCAGACTGCCCCACACAGAACCCTTTCAACCCACACCTGGATCGCCCCCACACTAAGCCCCTCCACACTTGGATCCTTGTCTTGCTGAGCCTGCCTGCCCACACCTGGTGCACCTGCACAGAGTGGGGATGTTTCTGGGGCAGGCCCAGTCCTTGTGCTGTGTCAGGGTTGGATGCAGCCTCACTGCTGAGTTCGGGGTGGGGGGAACTGCACAGGGATCTCCCACCTCTGTGCAGCCAGTGGCCTGTGCTCCCCAGTGCCATGCTCAAGCCTCCACGTTTATTTGACAAATAAAATTTGCAGAATTTTAAAATATTGTGCTCAGAATTTTTAATTTTTTGGTGCAGGATTTTTATTGTTTCAGCTCAGAATGCCCTCAGGAGTAATCATGTACTTACCGATATACAAGAACTCGTGTTTTTAATATTTTCATTTAAGATGCTTTTGGTGCTTTAAAATCTCATTTGATAGAGCAATTGTTTCAGTCTTTAGAAACCTCAGAACGTGAGGATCTATTGGAAAAAATTTAATGTTATCCCTGCAGATCTCAGTCATTCCATGAGAAGACACAGTCCTTCCGTGCCATTCCCCTGTCTCCCCACCCCAACAACAGTAATGTTATTCTGCCAAAATATAATCTCTCCTCCTTCCCCACATTGACTGTGAGTTACCTCCATTTTGGGAGGGAGAAGTAAAAGATGCAGAGCAGGAGTTAAAGCAATCCAACCAGCATTAACTCCCATACAGATTTCCATTTGGAAGACGCTCTGGTTTGGGAGTAAGCATGCCGTACATTTGTAAAGAAAACACTGTTGCATTAATGGTAGAGGCAGGGAGAAAGGGGCAGGAGTGAGTGGTGTGTGAATGGGGGTAAATGTGGGCCTGTTTAAATAACATTTGTACAGCTTGTGTGTGGTTTGTAGTGGCACAAGTACATTTCATCCAGATTAGAGTGTTTAGTCGTCAGGGTATCAGATTCATTGTTCAAGCCCTAATGTGTTTGGATATAATCTGCTATATTTTCATGTTTCCTTTGTTGTGCTTTGGCTTTGTGAGTAGCATAAAATAATACAATAGCCGTATAAAATCTTTTGGCTTTTTTGTGCTTCAGCAGTATATGCTCCTGGCAAACCTCTTAAAAGTATATGCTTGTGGCAGGACACTCCAAGTGCGTGGATCTGCCAGCCCTCATTAGGCTGGACAAATTGAATGTTGTAAATCACCACCACTGTGCCTAAAGTGTCCCTTAGTTTAACTTCAAGGGAAACAGATAAATGTTGCTCCACTGTAGTGATAACTTGGACAAGTGTTAAAGATTTTGATCTCTGTCATAAAAGCAAGCACTTAGCAGAAGTGATGTTGAGGCTTCTGGGAAAGAACTTGTACCAGGCATATTTTCACACATAAGTACCAAGGGATAAGTGCCTTAGATATTTGTCACATGTAGGTAGATTTTTGGGGGGAATAGAATTGAAATTTGTACAGGAAATACTCCCTAAATGTTAGATATTTTTACTTAAAACTGCTTTATCTTCCTGAAAAGCCTGTCACTACCTGCAGTATAGGCCTGCTATCCATTTAAATTGTGGTTAAGGTCTACAGAAGCTAGGTTTTGTTTGCTCAGTCACACTAGTAGTTCGCAGTCTCAGTGTACCTGTGTTTTTTGTATTATCATTGGATTGGAACAGCTACCTAAGGATTGGACACTACTTCCTAAAAGGTGGACTTACTCTCAGCTAAAAGAAAAGGAGTACTTGTGGCACCTTAGAGACTAACCAATTTATTTGAGCATGAGCTTTCGTGAGCTACAGCTCACTTCATAGCTCACGAAAGCTCATGCTCAAATAAATTGGTTAGTCTCTAAGGTGCCACAAGTCCTCCTTTTCTTTTTGTAAATACAGACTAACACGGCTGCTACTCTGAAACCTGTCATTACTCTCAGCTCTCACTCTGACCTTGTTTTCTCTGTTTTTCTTTCATTTCCGGTGTGGTCTCATTTCTCCACCACCATCACTACCACCACCCTTTATGTCCCTTTATCAATTACTCCCCCTTCACTCTCATTTTACTTTCTCATGGTATCTCATCTTCTTTCCACCTCCAACCTTGTGGTGGTGGTCTGTGTCATTCCCCATCCAACCATTATTCTCTGTTTTATTCTCCCTCCCTACTTTGGTTTTCCTGATGCATTGTTCCAACCTGTCCTATTGTATGTGTGAGCATTAAAGTGAAATTTACTAAATTCCTGATCTCTGAAGTGTACTGTCTGCAGGTTGTTAAGATATTGGAAAGTGGTCTTCATTTTGCTGCCCTTACAATACAGCTGACTGAGAGAGAAGGAGAAGGAAGGAATTAAGGAGGAGGAAATTTTAAAATAGTATATAATTTTCTGTTTTCAGAGGCAGAGATGAGGAACCGCTGACAGGGCTAGAAGATACATTTTTAGTATAATACATAAAAGTAGAGGAGTGAGTCTGTTTTTCTCTTCAATGTCCTGCTCAGGAAAGACATTAAAAAGTACTGCTGCAGAGATGTAGAGAGATGATTCTTTCAACTTCTAACCACTGAAATAAATATTTCTTAAGGCTCCACTAGATTTCTTTCTTCTTTTCATTTACAGTTTGAGCTGGTCATAATGTTTTAAAAGAAAAAAAATGGAAAAAGTTTTGACTAAATTTTCACATTCTCCTCCTCCTCCCCCCTTCCAACCAAATATAGAAGTGGTCAAACTTTGCCCGCTCTCTTTTTACACACGCGTGCGCATACACACACACACACACACTTTTCATAGCTCTATTTACAAACCAGGATATCAAGATGACTTATCGCTTTCTAATTTTTGGTTTTAGATGTATATTTTAATCGCCATTTCTAGCAGACACTTTGGTTGACATTCACATTTGAGAGGTTAAACATCCAATCAAGAAAGCTTTTTTCATTTGAGGCTTTATTCCCTGATATGCAAATACCTGTGAACAGGTAGTCACCTATAACATATGTTGACAATAGGGAAGAAAATTTTGAAGGAAATCTGATTTTAATGATGTTTGACTGCTTTGAGGTTCATAGAGCACAGAATGGGTAACATTTAAGTTAATTTAGGACTATGTTTTGATATTACAAACCGTCCAGTGTAAGAAACAGTAGTATGGAGGAGTTGAAAATCTACTTTCCAGCCTCCTGGCTGCTCCAGATTGGCCTAAACTGTATCAAGTCTATATCTATTTTCCAGTGCTGTGGAATCTCCCTGATGTACTGCACCGCCAAGGTTCATTTGGGTGTGTGGGAAAGAGCAGAGCCAAGATTCCACCTACTCTCCCCCTGACCGCCTTCATTGCACCTCTAGAAAACGGTGGAAGTAGCAACTCTGCTGAACCTGCTTCTCTCTTTGTGTTGCTTCCCGTGATGTGGGTAGCTGGTACAGAGTTTAAGGGCATCTTGTGCCCCTGTACCTCCACCAAGAGATGTGTACCTGTATATAAATTCATAGTAAGATCACCTTAGGCTTGGAGAACTTTAAAAACCTGTAAGAAGATTCAATGCATTAGACACCTGTGAAAAAAGTTCTTGAAAACACAAGCTAATGAGTGAGGAGCTGACTTTTCCTGCTTCATTGTTATTCAAGAAAGATAGTACATTTATATTCAAACAAAAAATTATGTTGAGCTAGTTAAGGTTGGGAGTATGTGTCAGTGATGTTAGGGTTGCCAGATGTCCGGTTTTCGACTGGAACATCCGGTCAAAAAGGGACCCTGGCGGCATTGGTCAGCACTGTTTACCAGGCTGTTAAAAATCCGGTTGGCGAGGGGCTGGCTCCGCACAGCTCCCAGGAAGCATTTGGCATGCCCCTCCGACTTCTAGGCATAGAGGTGGCCGCAGGGGCTCCGTGTGCTGTCCCCACCCCGAGCGCCGGCTCTGCAGTTCCCACTGGCCGGGAACCTGCCCCAGCTCTGAGCCCCCTCCCACACCCAAACTCCTTCCCAGAGCCCGCACCCCCTGCTGCACCCCAACCCCTTGCCCCAGCTCAGAATTCCTTCCTGCACCCAAATTCCCTCCTGGAGCCCATACCCCTTCCCGCACTCCAACTCCCAGCCCTGAGCCCCCTCCCGCACTCCAAACCCACAGCCCCACCCTCCCAGCTGGAGCCCTCACCCCCCCTCCATACTCCAACCCGTGCCCCACGCAGGTGCACCCTCCCACACACTGAGCCACTCATTTCTGCCTCTACCCCAGAGCCTGCACCCCCAGCCAGAGCCCCCCTCCACTCACGCACCTCAACCCTCTGCCCCAGCCTGGTGAAAACGAGCAAGTGAGTGAGGGTGGGGGAGAGCGAGCAATGGAGGAAGGGGGAGATGGAGTGTCCTGGGGCGGGGCCTCTGGGGTGGGGCAGGGCAAGGGTGTTCGGTTTTGAGCACTTTGTTTAATTTTTGTGACAGCCAGCTAGACTGCACTACTTGATCTACATCGTTAAAAACTCACTACCGTGCACAGTATATGGTATGAATAAAGCAGCCATAGCAGGCTGTACATAATGCTGGGAGGCCTTGAAAGCATATTGTATTTGCAATATCTTTGCTTTTTATTCTTTCCTTGAATTTTTGATGTTATGTTTAAAATCATGGTGAAACTATTAATTTATATTGTTAACTAATGAGCTTAATATATAACCTTGTGCCTGGCTTTTTTGTTTTAAATTGCAAAGTGTTCATTAGACTGTGCGTATGTGAGAGGAACTGGAAAATGTTATAAAGTACACAGTCAGTTTCTCATGCGTAAGAGACATTCTGACTTTGTAATTGAAAACTGAAACATGATGATATTATTGTTCCTAATATCATACTTACACCTTTTGGTAACTGATTTCCTTGAAGAGCTCTTATTGATAACACATATGTGTATTTAACCTATAGGTGACCAATTTTCTCTTTTTTTGTTTAGGAAATGTTTTCCTAAAGCATGGTTCAGAACTACGGATTATTCCCAGAGATCGTGTTGGGAGCTGCTAATATCTACTGGGTGGTTTTGGAATAAGTGAAATCACCATGTTAAAGAATAAATGGTCATATTTATTTTGGAATTAGTACAACTAATGAATCAGCCTGTTTTAAAATTACTTACAATGACTTCCTGGGATTTAAAAATTAATTAAAAACAGAGTTTTCATTTTCTTTCCCTGTTAGCATTTAACAAATCATAAGCTGGCCTGGCCCTTCATCTACTAATAAAAGAATGGTCTGATGTAATGCTATATTCTTGAAAGCAGGATGGACCTCTTTCTTTTTACTAACAGAACCTCTTAGGAAATGTTATTGAAAACAAAAGGGCAAACCTTGTCAGTAGAAACATACAAGTGTGATTGATGGATTAATAACAGAATCCTGTATTTAGAAGTTCATTTCATGGAGGGAGAAGCTGTGTTTGATTTTTAGAAAAAGAGACCATTAGGAGAAATGCTTTCCTACTGAAAGCTAAAAAACATAAGTTTAAGCCCTGAATTATGTATAATGTACATTGTCAAACTCAAAGAAACAGTTTTCCTCACCGTTAAAATTGTCAGTCCAAATAGAGGGGGTATCTTGAAAACTTCAGACTCTTGTTATTGAAATATGCAGAGAACTTCTAAGAAATGTAAATACTTGGCTACAATCATAAGGTACTGGAAAAAAAATTAATTAAAGAAAAATAAATATACTTTTGTTAAATCTTCATTTGAGCTTCATTGGTCAAACTAGCTTTTACAAATTTTCACTGATGCTGGATTTAACATTTTAAATAAAGTGTCCTCAACTGAAGGGTGGTGTAAAAACACAAATCATGGGAATCCCATGTGCTGTATGGTAGGGATTTATCGGTTGAGTACTACATTCCTTCATCAGCAAACATATTTATTTGAGGAAAATGTCTTAGTTTGTTGCTACTGTGTGTTACTTGGAAAACAGTGTTGGAATCACTTGTATGTTTGTATATTCAGAAATTAAGCATTTTGTTTATAAATTGTCTGAAGTTAAATTGTTACATCAACCACTGACCTACATTGGAGAAACCAGTATGTCTTGTTTTGACACACAATGATATACTGTAGTTTCAAGATAGTATGCATTTTGCCAAACAAATCATTATTGCATTTTATCTATCCTCATACATTTAATTTATTGAGGTTACAAAAAATTGAACAATAAACAATAATACTTCGTAAAAACAAGTATTTGTCATGTATGTGTTTATCTCATTCAGAAAACAGATCCAGAGGGGACTCGGAAAGGTGTAATGGTGGCTAATGCTATTCACAGGCACCCGAGTCCCCTTCTTAATGGAAATGAAGAAATACGCAGGTGGAGGCCCCCTACATGTTCACATGTGAAGGAGGCATACAGACTCCTGCATTTTTCAGCTCTGTCTGAACTGCCTCTATTTTGGTTTCCCTTTAGCAGAGTAAACAATGTCCTGGAAGGAGGGGAGGGAGAAAAGAAAGAGTTGAAGCAACTTGTGTTCATTCGTCATTTTCCCAATCAGATTGTGGTAATAAATTAGAAATTGTGCACTTACACCTTTTAAGCAGTATACTCTGAAATTAATTATAAATGGAGAGCTCCCTATTACAGTAAATTTTATGGTATGTTGATTTAAAGGGCAAAGTGCATAACTTCTATTAATATATTGCCACAATATAATTAGAATGAACAGAATTAATTGCTTCTAATTTTTGTCCTCAAGACTGTTTGGCTGGATAGCTGAAAACCACTTGCCATCAGAGCATAAAAAACAAACATGGAGTTTCTCTAATCAAGAAGTTTTCTTGTCTGTACAAAGTGCAATACAGCTTAAAGCCTACCAAATTCTAAGGTCACTGGAAAAGCTTCAGCATCTTTTTATGCCTTATATAAAGGGAACTAGGTTAAAAAAATAATTTCAAATGCTATATACATGCATTTTATTATAAATACACTCAAGTAATACCTTGACCATTTTAATAAACAGATTTGACCTATTTCAAATTGTAACGAAGAAAATTGAGTAGATACTGTGAAAAGGATCTCAGCAACTTGGAACAATGAATGATCACGTAGTATTGCATGGGTGTATTCTTGCAGTACATTCTTTTAAACCTGGGCATAACTCTCCTTACCATTAAAGCAAATGATGTGTTGCATCAGTAGTAAAAGGCTTGTTGAACTCTTTGTGGTCGTGCAATCTGATTTGATGTGATTTTCCATTTTGTTATGACCAAATTATGTTTGACACTGGTGGGGGGGGGGAGGAGAGGGAATAACCAGGGACAAATTTCCAGGGGCTCTCAGCATTCATAGTTGAGGTGAGATTTTTCAAAGGAGGATAGTATAGAACTCAACATCCAAAGTGGTGTGTACTTTTGGAATCTGGCTAGTTATGGGAGTTGAGCTCTTCATAAAATCTGGCTCTGATTGTGAGTGTTGAGCTGTTTTTGAAAATCTGCCCCTTGGAGTCTAATCCAAAGTTTATTGAAGTGCTTGCCTTGACTTTAGTATGTGTTAGATCACTCCTTTGGTGAACAGACACACGTAGCCAATTCTTGGGCTGGTCTGTGCATTGAGTAGGTCTCAAATATTCAAGTAACTATAATTTTTCAATGTAAAAAGTGTGATGTTTTTGTTTTTGGGGGTTTTTTTGTGACAAGTCAATATTTGCATGTAAGAGCCAATGTTATGATCCATGAAAACTTCTCTGCCAAACAGCTTTGGTCAGTCCTTAGATTTGTAAATTGATGCAGAAAATGTATTCCTAGGACACATACATTTCAAATAGATTTACTTGGGAGTGAACTGCACAGAGACTGGTAGTTTATGGAGGAATTGAGCGATTCTAATCTGCTGTTAAAATTGCTGCTATTGGCAAGTGCTGTCCTCACTGTTTCTATCTCTGTTATTAGTATTCCCAAGCCACAGAGTTGAACCATAGCAACAGGCTCACTCAGGTTTTGGAGAGCAAAATACTTTTTTTTTTTTTTTTTTTGGGGGGGGGACGGGGGGAGGAGTTATCTTCTTGTGGCTGAAAAATCACTGTAAAAATTGGTGATGACAGCTCCCAGCATTGGATGTTTTCTCAGAGGTAAGACACAGATTTTTAGCACCTGCTTCAATGTTTAGCCCCTGCCAGTACAAAGGGTACAAGATGCAGTCAGAGTGAAAGGAGGAACGCTGTTCGTGTGACTAAAGGCTGGGAGTGGCTGTAGAAGATTATGGATGCAGCAGCCCTTCAGATGGCAGCTTGTAGATGATGGGTGAACTGAACAGCTTAATGGGCAAGATGAAACTAAATCCTTGAATCAGCCTAATGTTACTGTTGAGATCACATTTCAACAATCTTGTCATTAGTTACATGTTCTGTCTCGGTGAAATTCACCCATAAGAACAGCCATACTGGGTTAGACCAGAGGTCCTTCTAGCCCAGTATGCTGTCTTCTGACACTGGCCAATGCCAAGTGCCCCAGAGGAAATGAACAGAACAGGTAATCATCAAGTGGTCCATTCCCTGTCACCCAATCCCAGATTCTGACAAGCAGAGGCTAGGGGTACCATCCCGGCTAATAGCCATTGATGGACCTATCCTCTATGAATTTATCTAGTTCTTTTTTGTACCCTGTTAGTCTTGACCTTCACAGCATCCTCTGGCAGAGTTCCCCGTGGGTGGGGGGGGAAGGGGGAAGGGCGGAGGGCGACAGCACAAGCCCTATGCCCTATATTTAATGGATTTAAGTGGTGCATCGTCTTTATACCAGTGCTGTGCACAACAGTAAATTTCATTCACTGTTTCCACCAATTCCCAGGAGGCTGGAACAGCAAGAATCAGATATGGTCATTCTGTTTTCCAGAAGCTGAGAATGGACAATGGGAATGGATCACTTGATAATTACTTGTTCTGTTCATTTCCTCTGGGGCACCTGGCATTGGCCACAGTCGGAAGACAGGATACTGAGCTAGATGGACCTTTGATCTGACCCAGTATGGCCGTTCTTATGTTCACAGTATTCAAGTACTGTCGTACCTAACCACCTAGTATATGTTTAGTATAGCAGGGCACATGAAGCTCCAGTGGTCCAGTTTGAAGTCAAAATTATAAGAGGACCTTATTTTGCATGCCATTTCTTCCTTATATAGTTATATTTGAGCTCACCTCTTTCCATTTGTTTGCTGTAGTTTTAGCAACAGAGAGCAGTTGTCAAATTTTACAATTGGATTTGTCATTTAAAATTATTTTTAATTTATTTCTGTCTGCAAGCAAGCAATAATACACTTAAGTATGAGAGAGAGGAGCTACATTCCTTTTACTGCATTTCTTTTGTGTATATTATTTACCTGCTTTTTCTAACTTCAGTGACTTAAGTCCCCGTAAAGTAATGTGAAAAGACCCAAATACATGTGAATATTCAAGATACAAGTGCAAATAGTAGATCTCATGCATAATGCTGTTCATTACTAGAGAGCAAATTCTGTTCCCAATGCCAAGTGTGAATAATTGGTCTGGCTGTTGCGGATCTCCCAGCAGGACAAAGGGAGGAATCCTCTTGCTCAGGGTGTGGAAAGACAGCAAAGTTGCTCTATAACCACTGCTCCAGCCTTAGAGCAGGACCCTAGTGATCTATTTCATGTGGAGAAGTAGCTTATAGATTCACACAACAGCAGATCCACAGACCTTGCTCCAAAATAAACTTTTATGGACAAGCAGGGAGACTGTAGAGATAAGCTTGGTGGCATGGAGGAAGTGCAGACCCTGAAATCTTCTACCAAATCCAGACAACTGACCTGCCGTGTTGACTGTGCACACAGAGAAAAGGGCGGGATTTATCCTGATGGGATTTTAGCTCAAAGGCTGAATACTAATTGAAGGATACAGTGCATGTATTTTCTAGAAAAGACTAGGACAGGCACAGGGGCTGTCAGAACTAAAGAAAAATACTTGTGAAGAATGTGCTTCATCTTCTACCTCTGTGCATCTCACAATCCTAGGGTTTCCTACATCAGCCTTTACTAGGTATGTGCTACCCGGACCTTCGTGCCTCATCTGATTTATAAATTATAACATTGCTGGTGAGACAGTGGCTATGAGAGAGAGGAGTACTTCAGGTGGCCTATCGCTATTATTGTACATTGAATTATTTATTGTGATGGCCGATCTGTAGTGCCCTTGTACTATGTTGCTTTACTCTCTTTATGATTTAATGTCAGGGCATGTTACTAGATTTTTTTTTTTTTTATTTTTTGCAAGGATCAGGCATTTTGAGACAATGAGTTAAAGTTCATGAGCGATAATTACCTTAAGTTGTTTTTCATAACTTTGTTAGGATTTCTGTAGCCACTTAGAATAACTCAAATGATAGGCTAATGTTTACATTAAAAAGCATTTGACTTTTTATACCAGACTTCCTTTTGAATGTTCAGTGATACAGGGTTTGAGTGATCCAGTGCTGTTGCTTTGTAGCACTTGTCAAACAACATCTTTGAAAACATCCTAGTACAAATAAAGAGTTAGAAGATGTGACCTAGACTACCCCGGTGCAGGGGAATAAAAAAGAGTAAGAACAGTCCCTACAGCCCTACTTGGGCATACCTGGACCTTAGGCACACATGTATGTGAGGCCGTGCACCTGTTTATTCCCCCCTGAAGAAGGGGGTCGGGGAATGGAGGAAGCCTCCTTTTGCCTTCACTCACCAGCCAGAGAATCTGAGCCAATGCAGGTGAGGAGGTAGTGATTTACTGTTGATCAAGGCAAGCAGAAAATGACTGCCTCCTTGGAGCTAGGAGGAAGCAGATGCAAAATGGAGTCGGAGATGTGTAATCTGTAGTCCTAGGGCTTCTCCTGGGGCAGTGCAGCTCGTGCAGCACCTCTTGCTCAGGGCTGGGCCCAAATAAAAAATCTCGCACAAAATAGAAGGACTTGATCATGCAACACTTCCTCATGTGAGTTTCCTCATTGGGAAGTAATCTGTTTGACTCCAGTATAGGGATTCTCACATGAGCAAGGGGTGCACAATCTGGCTTGACTAGAACAACTGACCCACCCTTTGTTCTGAAATAGCCATTAGAACAAGTTACAAATATCAGCCAATAGATCAGTTTGTCAGTGAATGCGGCTCGAAAGCAAGCGATTGTTTTCCCTGAACATTTAGCTGGGACTCCAAGTCTAATTCCAGTTGTCAACAGCAGTTTCCTTATTTAAAAAATTTA